ACTAATAACAAATCAAACAGGTTAACACTAGAGATAAAACTAATTAAACTGACAGATCAGTTTTCTTATTTGGGTAGCATGATAGTCAAGGAAACAAAGAAAGAAATTATAACACGCATTAGCAAAACATCCGCAGCTTTTTCAAAGTTTGAGCAAAACATGAAGAAGATCTAAATTATTTAACTTTAGAACTAGTTATACATTTTTAATTCTAATGTTATGTCAGTTTTGACATATGTCAGTGCAAGTTGGAGAAAAACTAAAAACATGCGACGAGAGTTAAATACATTCAAAAACAAATGCCTGATGAAAAAGGTGAAAACAAAATGGGATGAAATCAAGGAAGTGTAGAAATTAGAGAAATGTAAACACTAACAATAACAGTTGTAAAACACAGAAGATAGCGCTATATATTGGACACGTTCTGACAAGAGACACATAGAGAATTGCCAAACAGGCTACGAAATGGGATATGGATGGATTCAGGAGACACGGACCTTCACAGGAAACTCTGAGGATAACGTTGATAATAGAGGCCAAGGCTGCTGGACTGATGGACTGAATTCCATCCAGGATGTTGAGGTTAAGATGATTGCACAGGTTATAATAGAATGGATAAATAGACTACTATACTTGTGTGACATATGCTGGTACAATAGGACGACGAAGGAATCAACTGTTAGATAACTTATATACGTAAACTCATCAGCACCCTTCTTGTGCCGTACTCTAGAGAACTTATATACGTAAAATCATCAGCACCCTTTCTTGTGCCGTCCGCTAGAGAACTTGTATACGTAAAGTCATCAGCACCCTTTCTTGTGCTGTACTCTAGAGAACTTGTATACGTAAAGTCGTCAGCACCCTTTCTTGTGCCGTCCGCTGGAGAACGTGTATACCTAAAGTCATCAGCACCCTTTCTTGTGCTGTACGCTAGAGAACTTATTTACGTAAAATCATCAGCACCCTTTCTTGTGCAGTTAGATGTCACATAGGGCTCACATTCGATTCCTCCAATCCGCTGTATTGCATGTAACTCTCTGGACTTCTGACATAGATTTCGTCCGAGCGTTGTTAGCTTCCCATAATAGTAATTAAGTAAAGTAAAGATATTTTTTCACGCCCATAGGCGCATCGAGCATATGGGAAGAGTACCCATATTTTTAGAGACCAATCGGCACTAGGTGGGTAATGTGGTCAGCATTACGACGACCGTCTTTACGTCCCCAGAACATACATTCTGGTACCCATTTTAGGGTAGGTCGACATGCGACGCTCCATCTATATTATTAAAAATGTTAATTTTCCGAGTTTGTTAACTATAGACTCAAAAACTACTAAACTGATTGCTTTCAAAATTTTACACACCGTTGCCTTTGACTCAAACGATGTTTTTATGTTTTTTTATGTCAAACCACGAATGACGTAGATCCAGCAACGGTCAAATCATTATTTGTTTCGTTGCCGGCCTGGATTTGTTTTTAAGTTCACTGGCCATTTATGACTGCTGAGCAGAGACAGCCAATGACGCTTTGGGTTCACATTTTGCAGCGTTGTTTACTTTGTTGTTTCAGTGTATCCTCCTCCTCCCCCCCCCTCCCCACATCATATACTTACATAACAGTGGGTAAATTGTTCCTGTCCGTACTATAGATTTTATACTATTTATCAATCTTACTTTTTTTTGCTTATGTTTTATGCTTTGCTTTTTTTTTTGGTCACCTTAGCTTAGGTTTTGCAGCCCCGAGCATACTTTGTTTTTTTCTCATTAAGGTTTGTATCCCCCCCCCCCCCCCCCCCTTTTTTAAAAAAAATTCTATTATGCATTTTAATTGGCGGCGGAGTTGACCTGTCTTGATTGATCTACGTTCGTTATGCCAAAGACCATTCCCCGAGTGAGTATTTAGACATGTAAGGACCGGAACCTGAGACATTATTTCTTATTGAAATTTGCGTTATTGTATAATATAATTTCATTTTCACAAAGTACTTGAGTCTTTGGTAGCGTAGTTGTAAAAATTCTGCCTTTCAATGGGTTACCCGCTTCCGATTCCCCGCTAGGTGATACAATTTTTTTAGGGGCCCCTAACTGGGCGGCTAGCACGTTATGTTGTGGTTTATGGCTAGGCTGCGAAATCTACGCCTTTTTCGGTTTTTTGGTTTACAGCTAGCCTGCCATAGCGGCGACGTTATGCTCAATGGTCATGCCACGGGTAATCTTCGTTCGCCCTCGAGAGGGCCGTTGGCACGTTGTGTTGTGGTTTACAGCTAGGTTGCGATATCTGACCTAAACTCTTCAGTCTTCGGTAGTATAATTGAAAGTATTCCACCCTTTACGCGGGTGACCGGTGTTCGATTCCCTTAAAAGGGTGGTTGCCACGTTGTGTTGTGGTTTACAGCTAGACTACGATATCTGTGCCTTTCACCCAAAGACATCTGATTTCAGTAGAGTCCTAATTAGCCTCCCCGCGACGATTCACTCGATCAAAAACTATTTTGCGATGACAGAAACTTTTAACTAAGTCCAGTTTAGTTTAGGTGGACACGGATGCCAAGGTCAGTTACAAATCGTCCCTTCGGAGAGGGAGAGATGAGGGGTGCGGGGTGTTTTTCACCGCTATTTGTTAGTATAGTGTAAATTTTGTTTTCATCACCGACTATTACTGTTGGTTCCAGCAGTGAGTTTCGATCGCGGTACGTTGGAATTACAAGTCGGACTCGCAACCCCTAAGCCACGAACGCCACTTTCCAAAATGGTATTCTTCTTATTGTTTCCCTTAGACGTTCTGCTTTTTCCAATACCGTTTGTTTCTCATTTTAGTGCTTGTTTTCCAATTCTTTGCTCATTTCCTCTAAGTGTGTGTCCGCTGTATCTCCGCCTTTTTTGTTTATTTCAGTCGATACAGGTATTTGTCCAGACATTTCTCTGATCTCTCACGTTTTACAAATTAAACTTATTTTTTGTTCACGACTTTTCGTAGATATTTTATTCTCAGATGCATTTAACTTTCCTATCATATTTTTAGTACTATTTGCTGTCTATTTAAGGATGCAATTTTTTGTTATTTGAAGCCCCACCCTGGCTCTTGCCAGGGGCTGCAGTATAGCCCTGCCATAAATATGACTCATTGGCTGAACGCGGTATTTGGGACCTCTCCACGGTGATCCTCAACCACATGGTGGCACATTGTGTCATCGGGTGTTTATGGCTTGTGTGATGTCCTGGTGGGGTAGAAAGTCAGTCAGTCAGTCATATCTTTAGTGGCTCTCCTACTTTAGCTGGCATATGTTAGAATTGAAAAAAAAAAAAAAAAATCAAGGTTGAAATAAAATAAACTTAACATGTGAACCTATAAATCCATAAATGGCTTGGGCAAATGGACAAAAGTCAAACCTCCTCCCCCTCCCGCCCCCAAGAAAAAAAATCGAACTTTCCGCCGGAGTTTACAGCTGGTAAGCGCCAAGGAAGGAAAGAATAACAATAAACAGTACAGGAGTTGGCCTCGCAGATTAGCTGCCAAAAAAAAAAAAAAAAAAATCAAGTATAACAACAAGTATTTAACATTTTTACTTCCTTTCTTAAATATTGTCGGAAAAACCACATGTAACATGAGATACCAGAGAAAGGTTGCGAACAAAACCATAAGACATCAGGTGAGAAATGAAGAGACTAGTTAGTCTCCTTAGTAAATCCCGCAGCCTGTAGCAGCTGAGGACACCAGTTCTGTGTTGGTTTCTTATTCTTCTTTGGCGTCATGCAAAGTGCTCTTGTCTCGCCACACCTCTGTGAATAAACTCGCTGTACGTGCAATTTGGTCATGGTTGCTGATTCATAACAACTTGGCTCTCACAAACGGCTTATTTCTGGTAGAGCATTCAGTGTATCAGCCTGGTTAATGCATCGTCCGCCTTTCACGACAGCCTTAACTGCAAGCCTATCAGCTTGCTCATTTCCTCGCATGCGTGCATGACCATGCAAGAAAATCAAACTAATCTTTGTCATCCTTGACCGCCTCAGAGACACTAATCCTTGTTTGGAACCAGCCCATTTCTGACTGCCTGAGCATACTCACTGAGTCACTGAGAAAGCATGGGCGGTAGAAAAACGACAGGAACAATACATGTCATTAAATTCTTTGGGAAGCAAAGACTGAAATGGTGCAGTTCGAATGAATCAAACCATTCAGGTAACCAGAGCTTACAGCATGACAATGGAAAAATCAAGACGCAAAAGAAGACCCAGAAAAACGATGGAATGAAGGAGTCACTTGCAGCTTACAGCCGAACAACATCACAGCATACCAAGCACCGAATGCACCCTGGCTCGGCTACCTATCATCGAATAAACTGCAACGCCTGACGGCACTTAGCAGACAAAAGAATTTTATTTAATTGCCCAACCTGGTTTTATTCAAAATTTTAAGTCTGCAGTAAAAACAAATTATCAGCGTCTAGGAAAAAATACAAAATATTAACGAGGATACTTTTCAATTACGAAATATGCTCAAAGATACTTAATGGCTAGGGCATTCTGAGAAAAGGTTGGATGGCAGAAAAGTTGAAAACTATGCACCAGGAAACTGAATGGTCGTAGACAATTCGTCAGACTAGTATGACGATCAAGAGATAATAGCCAGACAGACCTACAAACACTTGGTGTCACCAGCTGGAAAAAGAAGGCAAACCAAAGAGATGAATGGAGGCGGGTGATATCTGCAGCAATGAACCCCAAGCGCTTGGAATACTAATGAAGAAGTTGACGTCCTGTTTTAATCATATGTTTATACATTCATATTATTTTCAGATATTACTATATTTATTTGCCATTCAGCACACACTAATTATAAAAATAATAATACATGATTAATTATTATTGCGCAGTTAAATAAGGACACATCTACGCTCTATAGATAATTATAAGACGACTGAGCGTCTCTTCGTCATCTAGGGAGCTCTTGGCTGTGAGTGGAGCGCGCCATACACCCTGGGCAATTGTTGCGATGCATTGTCTATTGTTAGCATCCAACAGAGATGACGATGATGGAACTGTCGTGTCTGTTTTTATTTCAGATTTAAAAAAAAAAGGTTACAGGATTTCAAACATGGAGCTGGCATCAGCCAAACTGAACGACCGAGGTAAGACAAGTACACACCTATTTATGATGAGTATTTGTGTTTGTTTTTGTCTTTCCAGGTGATATTGTTGTGACAATATTCTTACCAATGCTATGCTATCAATGTAAAACATGGACACTGTCTTCAGAAGACAGAAGGAAAATAGTCACATCAGAAATGAAATGTTCACGCAATATACTGGGTGTAACAAGGAAACATTGACATAGGAGCGTCGATATCAGGAATAGAGTCTGCACATAACCAATACTGAACTTCAAAAGTAGACTTGAATTCAAATGGCTTGGCCATGTAACAAGATGAGCATATGACAGGACACCACAGACGGCAGTGCTTTACATACACAGCGGTTATCAGAAACAGAGGTCGACCACGCAAATAGTAGACCGCAGAAATATCAGACATTGAAAAGTAATTTATACCAAGCGAACAGAAGGACCCGTTACAAAGATCTCTTTCTGCCCTGACGCCACGAGGCATTCCAGGAGTAGAGAAAAAGAATAGAAAGAAGAATAAGATTGCTATGTTGTTAAATACGAAAGCATAAGAATCACAGATCATGATGATGACAAATGTGATAGCGTGACTGTCAGGGTCCCATGTGGCTATGGGATGATTGCAGATGATGATAAATAGTGAGATTGTGACTGAACAAAGGCGATGAAGCAACAGGTTTTCCTGAGAGGTTTGTGGAAATTTGCGCGGTACGGGAGTTGATCGGGGAGTGGGAAAGAGATAGACTTTTGGGACTGGACGTTGTTGTGTTGACCGCTAGCTGTTTTTATGCTGTGTCTGATGTTAACGACAGGTAGCTTCGTTTTATGGTTAGCGTGACGGTAGAATGTTTCATGTGTTAGTCTGTATTAACAAGAGGTAGGTTATTATGGGTTTTTATTAATAGTATTCATTTATGTATTTAATTAGACGTTAGCGATGCGGTCCTTGAAGGGTTAATAAGGTTATAATAAAGGTTAATATGGTCTGTCCACTAACTCTGGCCACAGACGTGCAGTAGCACCGCGGTCCAAGTGTAAGGCGCAGTAGCTTCGGAAATAGCTTTAAGAGAGTCTGTTGCATCGGACCCTGATCACAGCCGTAAGCCCGTACGGTACTGTAGGGGCAGGTGAGTGTATTGGATGTTAAATAAAAGCGAACACACATTCGCCTCAAGTGAACTGCATTGTTTATTATGCCTGAATATGCAATAAAAAGTTGTTGTGTATGCTTTCACTGTGTTGGTCGATTGTGTTTAAGAAAAGACCTTTTCTGTCATGGATCTGCCAACGAGCTTTCATGCCCTGACGACAGTGAAGTAGGTCTCTGACAGCGGCACACTCGCATTAACAAGTCTTCCACAGTTAGAGTATTGAACTTTAGGACCATAGGTGTCATCACGTGTACATAGTCATCGATAGTGATTGTTGGGATTTTACCTCTTCTCATCCTAGAAGTTCATAGTTGATGCCCCATTAAGTCAATGAGAAAATTAACAAAATAATGGGTATACCACATCCCCAGGGCCGAAATACATATTTCTTATGGGAGACGAATATGTTGTTGTGTGTTCTAACAGACCCCGAATAAACATAACATGTAGCAGCATAATAATATGTTAACTGGGACATTTGAGTGAATCCTGACAAACATGGTGATTTGTTTGGGTCTGAGTAAAACAGCTTTAATGGAAGTATTTGCATATACATATTACATATGCGTCTTAAAATATTCCGAGCATTTTACAATGTTAAAATAACTTTAGTAGTCTTCGATGTGGTCGCCATTTGTAGATCTGGGGATCTTTGCGATTTCAGTCTCTGGCCACGTCTTCAGAAAATGTGTCATGATTTACAACTGCAACTGTATGGAATGGTTGTCCAAGTTCAACTATAAAACCGCTTAAAGCACTTCAACAAAAACAACAACAACAAAATAGCCGCACGTAAGCCAGTAATCACCATGGAAGAGACAGTTTTAGTATACATAAAGACCTTAAGTTATAACCTTTCCTTAAACGACTGATTTTAAAAAAAAAAACCTAAGTTTTTCACAAAATCTTATCAAACAATGCTCCAGATAACCTTTGGCCATTCTTTAAGTATAATGGGCGACATAGCAAACGCCTAAACACGTTGTACATCCCCAAACCTAGAATAGACATGTACAAAACAAGCGTGGTGTACTCTGCAGCTCACCTGTCGAACCAGATTCCACAAGCAATCAAAAATATCAACAAGAATATTATCTCACTACAGACTACACGACCACTTAGAAAATATTAGTATCCTAAGCATATTGTTTTATCCCAAGCAAGATTAATTATTCTTAGTATGATAATTGTTTTTAAAATTTAGGTATACTTAGAGCTCATTGTAACTAAGATGTTGTTGATGATGTCTATTGCTATGGTTTTAATTATTTTTTTCTGCTAAGACAATGTGTGAATGGAATCATGTATGCATGGAGTGAGGACAGATGTGTAGAATGTAATATAGGCCTGTGTGTCCAATTCTTAACTCTTAGAAAATAAAGTTCGTTCGTTCGTTCGTTCGTTCGTTCGTTTACGGTCTCTACTGTCGCACAAGGTCCCGTGAAACTAAACTTTTCCCAACATAATAAGACGCCACGCCACCCGTCTATTTCATTTAAACACGTTCTTATAATAACAGTTTAAAATTGCGGCATCATTATCGATGACTATTTATTTTAATTTAATTGAAAGCAAGGAGATCAAAATTAGAATTTTGAAAGCATGCATCTTCCCTGTAGCAACAAACGGATGTGAGTCGTGGACTATCTCCCAGCCCTTAAGAAAGCGAATATGAGCTTTTGAGCTGAAATGCTATAGAAAGATTCTCAGAATATCTTGGCCTGTTTTAATCGACTGTGACTATTTTAATCCAAATTCTATTTTATTTGACTTCATCATCAGTTCTCGTTATGCCTAGTGGCACATGAGGCTTCAGAGAGGACTTTTCATGCTTTCCTGTCCTGTGCAATCTTCAGTGCAGTTTTAAAATGTCAAAGATGCCGCACTCAGGTCATTTTCCATCGTTCATCTCCATGTTGTTTTTGGGCGCCCTGTTTTCTCTTTCCCTCTGGTTTCCATGTGAGAGCTGTTTTGGCAGGTATATCAGAAGTCATTCTCATAACGTGGCCAAGCCATTTCCATCTTCTCTTGGTAATCATACTGTCTAAAGTTTCTTGGTTTGTGGCTTGAAGTAGTTTAGGGTTTGAGATTGTATCTGGCCAGAAAATTTTGATAATTCTACGTAGACATGTGTGGTTGAAGGTGGACAGCTTGTGTGCATCCTTTTTGGTCATTCTCCAGCATTCCGCACCATAAAGAAGAACTGGCAAAATGATGCTCTTGTAGACTCGGAGTTTTGTCCTCTGCAGTGAATTGTTGGATTTCCAGATTTGCCTCATCCTTCCAAAAGCAGCTCTAGCTTTGTTCAGACGTGACTGTATGTCTTCCTCTGTCCCTCCCAGTAGGGACACCACACTGCCAAGATACGTGAAATGTTCTACATTTTCAAGTGATTGGTTACTTATGGTCACTGGTTGTTGGTTTGGACTGTTTGTCATGATCTTAGTTTTCTTTGTATTTATTCTCAGTCCCACCATTTCTGCTGTTATTTGACTTAAATGACTGATTTAATCGACTCTGTGACTATTTTATATTAACTCTACGACTGTCTTAATCGTCTGTAGCCATGTTAATACACCCACTCAATGACTATTTAAATGTACTCTATGACTATTTAGATTTTTTTACTGTTTCAGTCAGCTCTTTGACTGTTTAAACGATTTTATGACTTTTTAATCGACTCTGTGAATCACTGATGTATGATGTTTCCACTTACTACCAACTTCTAGGTTACAGTGCATCCGAGATGTGTGTGTATGCGAGTATGTGGAAAAGGTTGGGGGGGGGGGGGTTGGTTAGTGAGTAAATGGTGAAATTATTAATGCTCTCTTATTTCAGACAGCAACAGAGATGATGAAATAACCACAGGCGTGGGTCCTGGCCTCAGACAAAACGAATGATCAAGGTAAGACACACTTACAGAAAACTGACAGAAGAAGAGGTCTTGATGTTAGACATACGTTTGATACAGCACTACAATAAATGGATACTTCAGACACATTATATTTTGGCAAATATATAATTTTGTTTACTTGCGCATTTAAACAAGAACAAACGTTCTCTTTTGCCTCTGGAAAGTTATAAAGGGGCTGAGCGCCCCCTCCCGCCCCTATGATAATTTAATTATGGCGCTCCTAAGTCAGAGATACTTTTGATACTTTTGGTTTTTTTTTTTTCTTTGCTTACACCAGCTATAAACTCCAGTTATGGTAGTTCGTTCACCTCTGAACTTTAGTCTTGTTCCATAATCTGAGTGTTGCATGCATATCTGTTTTACAGATCTGAATTCTGTGTATGAAGATTGTTGGTTCCCTGCCTGTCAGGCAGATGCTCCCATGTCGTCGACTCCTGCGACGTGCTTGTTGGAGAGGCATTGGCAAACTTCAAGCAGTGACAAACTACTGAATGTAACTGCCTAGTCAGACTTAAAAGTTAAAAGGTCAGAGTCGAGAGGATCGACTTCATTGCACGGGGTTTTATCCTATGTGGCACGGACTCTGTAGCTCCGGTAACGATCTCCAGGAACATCCGTGAAATTTACCCTCGTGAACTGAAGGGCGCAGCCGTGGAACGAACCCACGACCTTTAGAGCGCAAGGCAAACGGCTTGACCCCTTCGCCACGGAGGCCTTCCTACCCCCTGAAAGGACTGCTAACAGACAACAAATGCTGGTGTTGGGTTGTAAGGGATATACAAATATTTTTAGAAATAATCTAAATGGTGATTGCTGTCTAATGCAAGTCTATGAAATTAAACGTGACAGATTGTGTGATAAGATCTTTGAAAATGGCTGTGAGTAAAACAAGAAGTGATCGAGTGAGAAACATCGCGATCATAAAAATTGTTCGAACAAGACCCATCGTCACATTTATTGGGAAACAAAGAATGAAATAGCTTAGCTGTCTAATGAGAATAAAACCAACGATGCCAGCAGCAAGAGCTTACAACATAAAAATCAAAACATCAAGAAGCAAGGGGAATACCGAGAAGAATATGGATTGAAGAAGTCACTGACACCTTGAGACTGCATAAAATCACAACACTTAGAGCGACCGAACGCGACCTGGCTGGGCTGCTAATCATCTGGTGAACTGCAAAGGGTAGCGGCATAAGCAGATATTGACAAAAGAAAGAAGAAGAAGAAGAAGTATGTAAAGGTAATTTTTATAGCATTAAATATTTTTTTTTTTTTTTGGTTATTGTAGTGGCGCATATTATAATGTGCATACTTTCACATTTCAGGAATTCACGAGTGTGAGGTATGGACGATAGATGCGGAGGGCCACAAACAGTGGGAAAGATGCAAGAAAAACCCCGGGCACTTACAATTTATCCCAGCAAAACAGTTTTCATTTGAACATCTTCCAGAGGCTTTCAGAGATGAGGAAGTGTTCGAGTACGTGCGTTTAATGATTGAGAGAACTGCAAAGCTAGTTGTGAAATACACAAGCCTCGACAGGCCACCTGGTTACCCATTCCATAACTATGGGGGTACAGATATACCCCATACAGGTAGCGGTTTTCTGTATTGCTATGAGTATGATGAGGTACAATTCAGCGATGATATCGTTGAGGAGAATACCCAAAGAAGCAATAACACAGAAGGGCCATCCTTCCTGGTGGAAGATTTGTCGTTTGAAGCTAATGGCGACTGCGACGAGGAGGATGATAGTGTAAATGTCAGTAATATCGTTGGTGAGATGGTGAAAGAAACTGGTAGCCCTGGGGAGGGTGACAGCAACGTAAAATGCTTGAATCTTGAAGGAAATAAAGACATTGATGTTAAAAGTGATAGTGTTAAACCCAGTGACATTAATGTAGATGCATTATTGAAAGATTCCAAAGGCAAGGGAAAGCGTAACTGCCAGACAGAAGGTTTGGATAGCGAGACAAGGAAAGGCATCCATGAGGCTGTTGATGGTGACGGTGATGATGCTGATTTCAAGATTTACGAATATTTTGACCTAAATTATATGTTTTGTCCTTGTCCTGAGTGTAAAGAGACAGATGCTCCTCGCCGGCAATGGGGCTATGTATCTGTGTATACAGCAAAACACGTTGTATACGATACATCAGAAGCAGAAAAGACCATTGTGGAAGTGAACTTTAACGATGATAATCAGGATAGCGGTGTGAGAATATTATATGGGATTAATGCCATTTCGGTCAGCAATCAAGAGGAGTGGACTATAATGGAGTGTGTTACACATGATCGAGATCTGTGGGTTAAACTGTATAAAACCTACAGCTACCTATTAGATCTGAAGGACAGAGTTCACGAAAAGTATTGGGAGAGCCCATCCCGATTGTGTCTGATAGTGTCTCATCCGCACGGATGGATCAAGCAGGTAACATTTGGGAAGTGGATCAAAAGACGAGTGCTTCAGGTGGATGGCAATGGGGACGAGCTGTCAGCATACGCATACGACACAGCAACATGCAAGGGCAGCAGCGGGGCACCCGTGTTGATTCTCGGGATGAGAGGGGCGCAGAACGGGCACAGGACATGGTTATCCCGTCATCACGTGCATAGCGGATATAAGGGCAAATACAATGTAAGCGGGGTGGAGAGCGAGAGAAATGTAGAGCCAGATGACCAGGCAGACAGTGATGGTCATGGCAGTGGATGACCAGACAGTGATGGTGATGGCAGTGGATGACCAGACAGTGATGGTGATGGCAGTGGATGACCAGACAGTGATGATGATTGCAGTGACCAGACAGTGATAATGATGGCAGTGACCAGACAGTGATGATGATTGCAGTGACCAGACAGAGATAATGATGGCAGTGACCAGACAGTGAAAATGATGGCAGTGACCAGAAAGAGATAATGATGGCAGTGACCAGACAGAGATAATGATGGCAGTGACCAGACAGAGATAATGATGGCAGTGACCAGACAGAGATAATGATGGCAGTGACCAGACAGAGATAATGATTGCAGTGACCAGACAGAGATAATGATGGCAGTGACCAGACAGAGATAATGATGGCAGTGACCAGACAGAGATAATGATGGCAGTGACCAGACAGTGATGGTGATGGCAGTGACCAGACAGTGATGGTGATGGCAGTGACCAGACAGAGATAATGATGGCAGTGACCAGACAGTGATGGTGATGGCAGTGACCAGACAGAGATAATGATGGCAGTGACCAGACAGAGATAATGATGGCAGTGACCAGACAGTGATGGTGATGGCAGTGACCAGACAGACAATGATAGTCACGACAGTAGATGACCAGGCAGCCAGTGATGGTGATGATTGTAAATGACCAGGCAGACAGTGATGGTGATGATTGTGAATGACCAGGCGGACAGTAATGGTGATGATTGTGAATGACCAGGCAGACAGTGATGGTGATGATTGTGAATGACCGGGCAGAGAGTGAGGGTAATGATTGTGAATGACCGGGCAGACAGTGATGGGGATGATTGTGAATGACCAGGCAGACAGTGATGGTGATGATTGTGAATCACCAGGCAGACAGCGATGGTGATGATTGTGAATGACCAGCCAGACAGTGATGGTAATGATTGGCAATAACATTGCTGACAATGATGGTGATGATTGTGAATGACCGGGCAGACAGTGATGATTGTGAATGACCAGGCAGACAGTGATGGTGATGATTATGAATGACCAGGCAGACAGTGATGGTGATGATTATGAATGGCAAGGCAGACAGTTATGATGATAACAGTAGATGACCAGGCAGACAGTGATGATGATGACAGTACATGACCAGGCAGAAAGTGATGATGATAACAGTAGATGACCAGGCAGACAGTGATGGTGATAACAGTAGATCACTAGACAAAGAGTGATGGTAAAGGCAGTGGATAGCCAGGCAGACAGTGATTTTGATGAGTGTGGATGACAATACAGACAGTGATGTGATGGCAGTATATGACCAGGCAGACAGTGATGGTGATGGCAGTATATGACCAGGCAGACAGTGATGGTGATGGCGGTATATGACCAGGCAGACAGTGATGGTGATGGCAGTATATGACCAGGCAGACAGTGCTGGTGATGATTGTGAATGACCAGGCAGACAGTGATGGTGATGGCAGTTTATGACAGGCAGACAGTAATGGTGATGGCAGTATATGACCAGGCAGACAGTGATGGTGATGATTGTGAATGACCAGGCAGACTGTGATGGTGATGGCAGTATATGACCAGGCAGACAGTGATGATGATGGCAGTATATGACCAGGCAGACAGTGATGGTGATAATTGTGAATGACTGGGCGGACAGTGATGATGATGATTGTGAATGGCCAGGCAGACAGTGATGATGATGGCAGTATATGACCAGAGAAGACAGTGATGGTGATGATTGTGCATGATCGTGCAGACAGTGATGGTGATGATTGTGAATGACCAGGCAGACAGTGATGATGATGGCAGTATATGACCAGGCAGACAGTGCTGGTGATGATTGTGAATGACCAATCAGACAGTGATGGTCATGGCAGTATATGACCAGGCAGACAGTGATGGTGATGATTGTGAATGACCAGGCAGACAGTGATGGTGATGATTGTAAATGACCAGGCAGAGAGTGATGATGATGGCAGTATATGACCAGGTAGACAGTGATGATGATGATTGTGAATGACCAGGAAGACAGTGATGGTGATGATTGTGAATGACCAGGCAGACAGTGATGGTGATGATTGTGAATGACCAGGCAGACAGTGATGATGATGCTTGTGAATGACCAGGCAGACAGTGATAGTGATGGCAGTATATGACCAGGCAGACAGTGATGTTGATGTTTGTGAATGACCAGGCAGGCAGTGATTGTGATGGCAGTATATGACCAGGCAGACAGTGATTGTGATGGCAGTATATGACCAGGCAGACAGTGATAGTGATGGCAGTATATGACCAGGCAGACAGTGATGGTGATGGCAGTATATGACCAGGCAGAAATTGATGTTGATGGCAGTATATGACCAGGCAGACAGTGATGGTGATGGCAGTATATGACCAGGCAGACAGTGATGGTGATGGCAGTATATGACCAGGCAGACAGTGATGATGATGGCAGTATATGACCAGACAGACAGTGATGATGATGGCAGTATATGACCAGGCAGACAGTGATGATGATGGCAGTAGATGGCCAGGCAGACGGTGATGGTATCGGCATTAGATGGCGAGACAGACAGTCATGACGATGGCAGTAGATGACCAGGCAGACATTGATGGTAAAGGCAGTAGATGGTCAGGCAGACATTGATGGTAAAGGCAGTAGATTGCCAGGCAGACGGTGATGGTATCGGCAGTATATTGCCAGGCAGACGGTGATGTTATCGGCAGTAGATGGCGAGGCAGACGGTGATGTTATCGGCAGTAGATGGCGAGGCAGACGGTGATGTTATCGGCAGTAGATGGCGAGGCAGACGGTGATGGTATCGGCAGTAGATTGCCAGGCAGAAGGTGATGGTATCGGCAGTAGATAACCAGGCAGACATTGATGGTAAAGGCAGTAGATGACCAGGCAGACAGTGATGGTGATGGCAGTAGATGACCAGGCAGACATTGATGGTAAAGGCAGTAGATGGTCAGGCAAACATTGATGGTAAAGGCAGTAGATGACCAGGCAGACAGTGATGGTGATGGCAGTAGATGACCAGGCAGACTGTGATGGTAAAGGCAGTAGATGGTCAGGCAGACAGTGATGATGATGACAGTACATGACCAGGCAGACAGTTATGATGATAACAGTAGATGACCAGGCAGACAGTGATGATGATGACAGTACATGACCAGGCAGACAGTGATGATGATAACAGTAGATGACCAGGCAGACAGTGATGGTGATAACAGTAGATCACTAGACAAAGAGTGATGGTAAAGGCAGTGGATAGCCAGGCAGACAGTGATTTTGATGAGTGTGGATGACAATACAGACAGTGATGTGATAACAGTGGATGGCCAGGCAGACAGTGATGGTGGTAATTGTGGATGACCGTACAGTTAATTCTTTTAGTACTTAACAATTCATAGTGCGTTTCTTTAGATTCAAACGATAATGTGACTTTTGTTAATTTTATTTCTTTTACCAAAGATACATGTTGCATCAACCCAAATGTATCTGAAAGTATATTACTTCTGTCTTATCGTACCCATGTCGAACTCCTTCACACTTGAGAGTTTTCCAGTTCATCTCTGAGTGGGTTCTATTGCCCCATTAAGATAAAGACATAGACTCACAACCTCTCCAACGAGCATGTCGTAAAAGTCGACTAATTTGTGGTGGGAGGGGTGAGATTTTAGAAGTCGGAGTGCATCTGCCTGAGAGGCAAGGAACCAACAATCTGCATAGACATAAGCCATTCTGTAAAAAGCAATGTGCGTGAAACACATTACAAGAGTTACATAACACAAATAAAGTCCGCAGTTGATGAACAACTGGAACTTTTCTCCCGAGGTTTCAGCCATCGAACGCGAAGAAGAAGAGGAAGTTCTAGTTAAGCTGACCTCCTTTGTGCAGAAAGGGATTAGCGACCAACTCGTTGGGACTGAACGAGTTCATGCAAAGTAATTACAGCAGTGATATTGTGTGGACGTTATGGCTCATACAATACAAAGTGATTTTTATGATGCTGTAGCGCAGCAGTTCTCAGGCTATGGGTCGTGACCCTTTTTCAAGGGTCACCAAAGGAAAACACATATTGACTGAAAGTATGAAGCACTAGCAGTAAATAATTGTATGTTTAAGGGGCGCCACCCCGTGAGAGGAACTGTAAGGGTCGCGGCATTTGAACGGCTGAGAGCCACTTCTATAGAGCAATAGTTGCCGGTTAGCTTAGACCTGTGGAACCCTCTTATTTTTAAAGGTGTGTTGCCTTATATTTATTTGTACTTTTAAAAAGGAAAGAAATAGAAAGATTATATTTAAATTAAAAAAACAACAACAAACAACAACAACAATTAAAATAATAATAACAACATAAGCTTGCATTCAAATTATATTAAAAAAAAAAAATAATAAGTTTTCGAGGCAAATATTATCCGGACCGCTGAAATTTTCCCCGCGAAGAGTGCCCTTGGGTGTGGATGACTACACAAGTATTACAAAATGAACGTGATTTTGTTGAGTGGGCATGATTTTGTATACAAAACAAAGTCTTCGTCAGAAAATGATGAGTGCTTGCTTAAATATTTAATGAAAGTGGTTGCGATGATACTGTAAGGTGTGGATGACTGAATAAGTAAGAATAAACTCACAGGGAGCAAGTACAGCGGGGATCTACAGTCATCAGTAGAAATTATCCTCTGTCGACACACGTTTCGGCCCACGATTCCTAAACGTATTCGGAGGTGGGCCCACCTGAGTTCATGAAGCTCAGGGCTGCTTAAAGCGATTTTAAGGTAACATACTGTTATAGTGCGGTGTGTAGACGATAATATATGTAATACAAAGCGACTGTGTTGCTCATTTACTGCTAACTGAATATAATGATTGCAAGATACAGACCAACTAACAATTTTTCCTGCAGCGAGGCGCTTTCATCACATGGAGGTGACAGTTTCGATTCCCTGCTTAGTAACTATAGCTTGACATGTTCATTCTGTCTTGTGCGTTCTATCTTTCTACTTTTTTTA